CACAAAACTCTTACTCAGATTCAGCTGTTTTCCTCTTGTTAAACATCCTTCTGGTTTCTGTAAGCTTTTGATTCTTTTCCAGGGTTCCAAAAAAGAGTTGGTTCTAATAGCTTTTGCCACTTTATTCATTGCTTTTATGGATGGATAGACTTATGGGGTTCTTTATTCTACTACTTTTGCTGATACCGTTACCCAAAACCATTATATTTTAATTGCCTATTCATTTATGTTTACTACATTATAATGAGCCTGAGAGCAGGTAGATGTTGCATTTGCATTCCTAATAATTTTACAGATGATGTTGATGATAATGGTTTAGGAACCACTGACCTAGAGCAAGCAACATCTAAACTGAGCCATGAAAGAATAGATAGGAATTAGGTAAATTAGGTGTTGGTATTATGGAAGGGAGGAGCAGTGAGGAGAGCTGAGGTCAAGGTTCAGACAGAGGACACCAGCAGATAGTTCACAGGGACCTGCAGGTTTGTAGGAAAAGGAGAGTGATGAGAGATGAGGCTGCGAAGGCAAGAGAGAACCAATATTCAAAGATATTTAAAGGCCTTTTACCATACGAAGGAGCCAGGATTTGGGTGGAGAGCCACTGAAGGACTATAATCAGGGAGCAACATGATCAGAAGTGATCACTGTGGCTTCAGTGTAAGATGTGGATTGAAGGTGGATAAGACCAGTAAGTAGACTAATTATGAAGCTACTGTAGGAGTAGGTTGATGACCAAGAACTATATAGGGACAGTGAAGATAAAGAAAAAGAAAGATTTGAAAGATATTTAAGAGGTAGAAATTAAATTTCTAAACACTCATTACATGTCTGGAATGTAGGTGAGGGAGAAAAATTAAAGTATATCCCTAGGTTTCTGCTTTGATCAATTAAATGGTAATAGTCACTGAGACAGGTAACATAGGAGAAAAGAAGGCTAGAGGAGCAAGGAGTAGGGAGAGGGATAATTTAATTTGGGGTCCTATTGATGTCTAGTAGGTCACTGAGTAGAGAGATTTTTGAGCTCAGGAGAGAGATCTAAACTAAGACCCAGATCTGGGACTTTCCAGTCCATAGATAACTGAAACGGGAGTAGATGGAATTCCCTGGGTACAATATGTAGAGCAAGAAATAGATCTAGATGGCTACATTTTGGATATCCGTGAGAAATGCTACCACTTAAGGGGACACCTGGGGAAGAAGAATGTGCATTAGAGACTACAAAGTTGCTGACAGAGGAAGAGGAAGAAAATCAAGAGGACATGACAGAATGGAAGCCAGGTGCTTTAGCCATGCTGAAAGGTGGAGAGAGATCAATTAACATAAGGAGTAACAATATCAATTATGTACTTGAAGACAGTAATTGATAACCTAAGTCCAAGTCCTGACAGGGGAGTTTCATGCGTTTAAGCCAGAAATGTATGGGAAGTGAAAAAGTAGAGGTATGTAATATAGTGACAGCCAATTCATGGGTTGTCCTTTTCATTGTTGCAACACAATTTCTATGAATTTATTCTACTACTAATAATGAAAACTTAGTATAGTCTTTAAATATGCCTTTTCATATTAAATTCTGGAAATTTCTTGCAGTCTTCTTGTATATGTTACTGCTTTCCTTCAGAAATAGTGAGACCTTCTGAACAGATGGGTAGCCTGAAGAATTATCTATGAAAAAAAATAGTAGAAAAAGTAATCTAAGAAATTCAATGATTGTATTTTTTTCCTACAGCTGTATTTCATACAAATGCACATCTAAAGATTTCCTTTTTCGAAGTTGGTTTTTCAGGAATGATCCCATATAAACTAACAAGAGCTTCTTTTTTAAAGATATGGCAGAATTTTCATTTTATTTTAAGGCAACGCTAGAAAAATGCATCTTATTCCATAATACCAAAACTAATATCCTAAAATGCTTACATTGAGGTGCAGACTTGTGTTAGTGTATTTCCCAGGATTCAAAAACCAGTTAAAATCAATAACGGGAGACTCACGAGGGATTTTGCTTTGTTTTTTTCCTGCCTGGAAATGAGATAATGGGAACTGTGACAATCTTGAATTCTCAGAATATATAATAAATATCCAGAGGGTCATCTGGAAAACATGAAAATTTCTAATAATTTAGAATTGAGATTTATTGACTGAAAGATTACCAACCTGGGATCGTACAGATTTCCTTTGCAAAATGCAACTAATATTTCCTGCTCTGTACTTTGTTATGTGATTTCCTTCAGCTAGAATATCTCCTTATATCTTCTTCACTTTCCCCTATTTCTGTTGGTATCCATCAAAGTCCAGATCAAATACCATACAACATAGAATATATGCTGTTTTATATGGCAGTTATTTGCATACTTATTTCTAGTTAAACTGTAAGCTTCTGGAACTATATCTTATTCCCCCATGTTGCCTAACATGATACCCAGCATAGGGTTGTCACTATATAAATATTGATTTGTTATGCTTACATTTAAGTTATTCAAATTATATCTAGAATTAGAAGAATTCTCTTTTTTCTGCCCAGCCAAAATATAGAACGCCATAAAAATGGGCCACGTTTCCTCTTTTGAGTTCCTAGTCATTCAAAATTTAGAATTCATCCAGGTATAACTAGAAACAATGATGTGTACATAGTGGCTGCAAGTTTCTCCTACAGACAATAAGATTGGCACAAGCAAAAACATTAATTTGTTTTAAAGTTTTTCTTATTTCTAAGGGTTCTCTGAAATTTTTGATTTGCTAATTACAATAGAAGGCTTCTTCTAAGATTAGTCATTGGCCAATAAATTGATACACTTGTTTAAAGCAGAAAAGCATTAAAGAAGTGTGTAAGAGACTATAATTTAAAATGCACAAGTAATTATTTAGTAATATTTTCTAAAGGTTTTTTTATTATTTTAGAGAGAGGGAGAGAGAGAGCAAGCACATGCACATGAGTGGAGGTAGGAGCAGAAGGAGAGGGAGAGAAATCCTCAAGCAGACTTTGTGATGATCAGGGAAACCCACGTGGGGCTCAATCCCAGGACCCTGAGATCATGACATGAGTCAAAATTAGGAATCAATGCTTAAGCGACTGAGCTGCCCAGGTGCTCCTCATTTACCAATATTTTTGAGAAGAAGCCCCTTCTTTGATTATGGGTCTGGTATTTGGAGTGCATTGTTGTCTTTCTAACATAAATCACTGTAATGCATTATCTACTGTTCACAATGTTAATCTTTAAATAAGAGTGTAAATCTAAAGATTTTTGAAGTAATCTGGGTATAGATTCTTTCTAGATTTTTGTTTATTGACCACCCCACTATATTAAAGTTTCCTCACTTTCCCCTAAGTTAACGGCTTATTTAATGATTCACCTATACGCAGTCTTTCCAAAACATTCAAGATAGATTTTATACAAATAAGTCTCATTTTGTTTCACAGTCATATGTAATTATTTTATTTATAATTTAGTTAAATTATACAAGGTGATAACAGTAGGCATAATTTGGGGACAAAGACAACTGATTCTTAACAAGTAGCAGTTCAGCTGGTTGGAGCAGAAGTGTTAGAGGCATACTAGACAGAGATAGCAAGTTAACTGCCAGTGCCGGCATTTAACATGACATGGACAGAACTCAATATGTTTTATGTAGAATGGAGAATAACCGTTAATCTGGTGAACTACTTAAATGGAGAGTAAAGAGATCTACTATACTCTTATTTTATACTAATATCTTTCTGACATTGTTCCACAGGAAAGTTAAGGGTAAGTATTTTATTTAGAATTAAATATCTTCATCCTCTGTGTTAGCTAAAGGACCATGGAGTTAAAAGTATAGGGGAAAGAATAAATAAAAATCTGCTAAAACACACACACACACACACACACACACACACACACCAAAAACTTTCTTTGCTTGATGTGTTGTGTTGATTCGGGAAGAGCTACCAAAGATCTATAGAAAGAGAAAAAAATCGTATAATATATCTAGGCTATTTCAAGTGTGTAGGTTTCATTTCTGGGTTTGTAATCATTTTTATGAGGAATTCATAGGAGTACTTCATAAAAATTTTTTGAAAGAATGAGATGGATGAGGGAATAGAAAGTTTGGGAAAATAAATTTAATTTTGCCTTTTGGAAATTGATTATGGATAGTATCAGGAACCACTCAATTTTGTGACATAAAATAATCAGAATGAGAGTGGGGAGTTAAATCAGCTAAGTATACTCTGGAGATAAAATTATAGAAAAGGGCAAAAGGAAGGATCTTTGTAGTAAGGTTGGATTTTGTCTCCACACAGTAAGAAAGATGGCACAGTTCTTAGATAATCACTTAATCCAGTAGTTCTCAACCCTGCCTATTCATTTGAATTACATACACAGAAAAAAATTTATTTTAATTGATTTCTTATAGGTCATCCCAAACCTCTTCCTTAGAATGGTGATCTTAATTCAGTTACTCCAGTGTTTAAATACCTCTTCCATAGTTTTCATATTTATTTCATTATGATTTTTGGTAATGTGTTAAATTAATTACAAAGGGAGGTCATTCGGAATAATTTTCAGAAAATACCTTTCATATCATCCTACTGTAAAAAAGTAACTGGTTCAAGGAAGCTTTTGACCTAGTGTAATATTGTGAAATCCAACTACTCATTTTCAGGACTATTTTTGATTCCTCAGAAACCCTGTTCAAACCAGCTTGTCTATAGATCTTGTCTATGCATCTTAAAATCTTGAGCATGTTCCTTAAAATATTAAGACACACTCAAAAGAATTCCATCCTATACAAATCTGTTGACTCCCTGGCATCTAATGTAGGATACTTGTTTTGTTATTGGAAGATAAAAACTGGAATGAAATGAAGTGACAATATAAGCAATACTGTTTGTGGGTTTTTCTCATGTTAAAACTCTGCATTAAGTAGTTTTTGGTGGGTTTAAATCTCACCCAGGTGAAATAAAGTATTATGGAGTTTTTCTGAGGGTTAAGTTTGCTTCACATGTTGATATTTTGCTTTTCCAGGGTTTTGAAGGTGTTTCTTTCGCGAACAGCCCAGCGGATTCCATATATGACCGGTGGACGGGTCATGAGGATGCTGGCAGTAATGCTCCTGGTAGTATTCTGGTTTCTTGTTGGCTGGACTTCGTCTGTTTGCCAGAATTTGGAGAGGCAGATTTCACTTATTGGCCAAGGGCAAACATCTGATCACCTCATCTTCAACATGTGCCTCACCGAGCGCTGGGATTACATGACAGCAGTCGGTATGTGGTCACTTGGTGTGTGCGGTTGGCTTGTCCTTTTTCCAGTGACATTAAAACAGACTTCCTTAGAAGCCTTACCATATCCTTTACGAAACCGAAAGGGATTTCACCTAATGTGGTTTGGGTGAAACAATATTATAAAAAGGACAATAATGACGTATGGAATGCAGACTTTTTCTGAGTTTCCATTCTTTTTCAAAGGCATATAGATTTGTAGCTTTGTTGAGAAAACGTAATCAAGTAAATCAGAAAGGAGAAATGCAGCAAATAAGAGCAACTTCTTCGTATACAGAGACTTTCTGTTTTCCATCTTATCAATGTACTCCGATTTGATTAGCGATAGCTATTCTGATTTAGTTCTTTAGGTGGGAGCAAAAGGGAAACCTACTGGTATTTTTTATATAGTTTTGGTCCTTTGATATTTCAGGCTTGGGATCTAGGGCACTCTTTGGGTAAAGATTTTTCCCTGCAGACTTCTTAATTGATCTATCGTTCTTCTAAAGATAATTTATTAGGAATTCTCTGGAGGTCCAGTATTACACAAAAATGAAGCCACTCTCGCTGGGGTTAGTTAGAGTTCTGTGATCGAGAAGCTGGAGAATTTGGAGAGTCACATGATGTCTCAGGCCGGAAGCACAGGTTTTTCTGTTACCTTGGTTTTTGGAAAATGAGGAAGAGAAATCAGTAGGAATATTTCTGTTGTTAACATTCGGCTATTTTAAGCCAGGCCTCTAAAGATATGAAAAATAATGAAAACAAATTTTTGTTATTTGGTTGTCATTCCCCTCAATACACCACAGAACGAATCTTATTTTTTGCTTGGCAGATGTCAAAAATAAACACATGGATCTAATTCCTATTTTCTGTCTCCCCCATATTTGGCAATTGTTGGTTGAATATTCACATTTAGTATTTTGCTAGAAGTTAATAAAAGGTGTATTTAATTTATAACTTAAATGTAATAATATTTTTCTGGACAAGATATTTTAGGAATTTTATTGGCCTGATATTTATAATGATAAAGCAATGTGGGTATATAAAAGGAATGATTATAATGATTCTATGAAAAGCCAACCATCATTATTTTGATCAATATCAAAGAAGATATCAGAAATTATCAGTAGATATATATCAGTAGATACCAATATCAGAAGATAAAACGTAGAACTAGTCTGATTCTGACTTTAGTGTCGATATGAAAATTAACTAAATTGTATAGATATGAAATTACTACTCAGTAGAACCCTCTAACATTATTTTACATTGTTTAATCCAAATTAAGCAAGCTAGGAAAAACCATTTTCTCATATTACTGTGAAGAAAAGCCCACTATATTTCATTTGTTTTACAATACTCAAAAATATACAATGATGCATCATTGGGTAGGAAATAAACAAGCAGAAAGTATGGCCTATTTATCTAGCATTTTTTAAAAATTTTGTACACCTTCGTATTGAGATGTATTTAAGACCTTTTAAAATTTCTTTTACACTTTGGAGGAAATCACATTTGTGATTTGTGATCTCTATTTAGAAATAAATAGGAATATATGACTGGCAGTAACCTTCAATTTATTTTATATAAACTTTTTTTATATATAAGTAAAAGTTTCATACAATAAACAAGACCCACTGAGTATCTATCATTTCTCTAGTACGTGTTGAACACTTTGCAGGAGATATAAAATGTATAAAATTTTTATTCCTCTCATCAAGTAGCTTACTGTTGGTTTATATAAATAATGAATTATTAAAAATTATTAAAAAAACAAAATTATGTGGTAAAAACTTTGGGTATAATAGCAGTTCAATAAAGGAAGACAACAGTTTGGACCAGAACCTAGGAATCTTTAAAGAGAAGTTCTTTGAGCCATGGATAACACTTAGGTTATTGTAAAGTGGTACAGAAAATGTTCTCTTTGATAGGAATAGTGCTGGAAGTGGATTGAATTTATATGAAATGTGAAGGAAATGCCCAACTAAAAAAAGAAGATTATGTTGGACTACACTGTGATTAATTCTGGATATTAGGTTTATTGAGTCTTGAAAAGCTGTTAGAGGAATTTGGAGAACTAGGAATGTGATGTGATGTAAGGTCAGTCTAGGAAGGTCAATCTAGATTGCCTTTAGAAGATATATATATACACATATATGTGTACATACATGTACACAAACATATAGTATCTGTGTGGTATATATATTATATGTATATACACGTTTGTGTGTATGTATATCTGTATATATGTGTTACACACACACCCACACACACACACACACACCCCAAATTCATGGGTTTGGAAAGAAGAATCATTAGAATGGAGAAAGGGCAGTGATTCTCAAACGTGTGGTCTCAGAACCAATGCAGCAGCAACACCTGGGAACCTGTGAGAAATGCACATTCTGGGGCCCATCTCAGACTTACCTAGTCAGACACCGGGATAGTGGGGCCCAGGAGTCTCTGTTTAACATGCTCTGTAGGTAACTCTGATGCTATTCTAAAGTGTAGAACTACTGACTCAGAGGAAGTAATCAGATGAGCTTACATCACCTATCTCAGCTGTGCTCTGGGCACTCCGTAATACTGTTTCTCTGATCCGTCACTAGAAGATTCTTCAAGTGGTGTAGTGTATCCCCTCTTCACACCTCCAAACTATCCATGTTCCTCTTTTCACTTAAAAAAGTAAGGTAGCCATCAGACATCAGTTGTCTTCCAATTCTTGTCTACATATCTATAAATCTTCCCATATTCCTACCCATTCTTATCCACCCCCCCCATTACCTACATACTCCTTACCTGTGTCACACTCACCCAACATTAAACTCCTTATCTCCAGGCCTTTCTCACTTTATATGACTTTCCTATCATCTGAAATGCCCCTACCTCCCAGAGCTCTCATTAAAAAATTCCATTCTGACCACAACTTTCTCTCTTAGATTATTTAACTACTCTATCTGCAATAGCATTTAGTTTCATCAGCTATTTTTATCGTGCTTTACTGCCCTTAAATTCTGCTTTCCTCCAGAGACACAGCTTACCAGGTAGCAAATTTTTCCACTAGCAAGGATGAAACTATGAAAAAAGTAGGCATTTTTTAATACAAGTACCTCTGGATCATACCAGAGTAAGGGGTACACAGAGAGCAAGGAGGACTAAGCCCACCTTCCTGAGGAGTCTGGGGTGGGTAGTACAAGAGAGACTAGCTTGAGATCCGTAGCTTGAGACGACTACCGGGAATGCAGTTCCTTGGACAATAAGCCGGTCTCAGTCAATGTAAGAAGAGAGGGAGAAGCAAAGAGGAGAGATGGATTATTATGATGGGAAGATCTAGGTCAAGGCTTTAGGAGTGAGATAAAAGTAGCAAAACTTGAAAGGCAGGCATTAGTTAAACTAATACTCCTGGGGATGTTCAAGAACATTCGGGTCTCAGGAAATAAAAGACGAGTGATAACGTGCAGAGACCGAGGTGAGAGGAAGTTAGATGGTGGTGGTGGTGGCGGTTTTGTCATCTCCAGGCACTGTTTCCATCCTATAAACTCCCGGAACACCTTCATTTCAATAATACCCTTTTCCTGCAGTGACACATTTCTCTAAAGAAAAGTCGAGACACATGATTTAACAACAGGAACAAATATTTGAAATTAGGACTGTCTTAAAAAATCAGAGCCATGTGGTTGCTGTGATTTTTTTTTTCACACTACCCTACAGCAGTTCCATTTATTTATCTTCCACGAATCTTTCATTTTTATTTCTAGTACATGTAACACTAGATATTCTGTATTTAACCTCTCTTAATTTAATGTTTTCTAATGTGCAGCAGATGCTTCTTTTCAGTTCTCTTTACATATTTCTATAAGTAGCATGTTTGCCCTTAGATTTTTTTTTATACTCAGACTGTTATTTAAGAAGAAATTCTTGTATCTTCAGTCAGCCAAGAAGAAACCTGTCCCAAAAGCTAAATTATTCCATTTCCTAAATGGAAATGTTTCAACATAGGGGACAGGCTACAGAGAAGCAATGGATAGGTTTTATCTTGAGGTTGTGGACAATCTTTGTTTGGAAGCTCTGTATACTTACTTTAGTGTCAGGAGTCAATTCAGAAAAAAAGAGAAAGTGATCGTTCATATATTTATAAACATGCATTCTGGATTAGATTTACATGTCAAAAAGGATCTGTTTTGGGCACCTGGGTGGCTCAGTGGGTTAAGCCTCTGCCTTCGGCTCAGGTCGTGGTCTCAGGGTCCTGGGATCGAGCCCCGCATCAGGCTCTCTGCTCAGCGGGGAGCCTGCTTCCCTTCCTCTCTCTCTCTGCCTTCCTCTCTGCCTACTTGTGATCTCTCTCTGTCAAATAAATAAATAAAATCTTTAAAAAAAAAAAAAGGATCTGTTTTTTAAAAAAATACAAATTGAAGAACCATTCGAAAGAGTGCACTACCAGTCTTCCCACCAACGTTGAACCCTGTTTAGAAACATGGGTCAGAAATGTAAAGGATGGGTCTCTTCTGTTTTGCTTAATGCACGGGGCACCTCCAGAGCTGCTCAGACAGGTGATTTGCCTACCCCAACCATTTCAGACAGAAAATAGGTATAGAAACTGCTTGGAAAAACCTCCAAAACTCTATGAGACTCGGTTTCTTCTTCGAGGAAATGTGTGAAAACATAGAAAGGGGGAAAAGTTGACATTCACGATCCTATTGTTACTTATATATATTTATAATTTTCAGTTCTCAGGTTCGTCCTACATAAAAGTTTGTGAGGTCAGCTTTAATGGAAAACAGATAAAGATGTAAACATTGAGACTATAAAAGACAGGTGAACATGGGGCAGTGTTTTACAGGCCCGGTAGTCTGGGAGTTTTTTACCGATTTTTTTTAATCTGGTGGAAAATGAACTTCAAAATGTGAATGTTCCAGAATATTTCTAGACTAGAGTTCCTGTAAAGACTTAAGCTGCCATACATCTTTGAAAATCATCTATAACTATAATATTATAGTATTATAATA